TGCTTTTAGTAGCTGTTGTTGCCGATTGTCACCACTGTTGCAGCAAAGAGCTCAGAGGCTTTGACTGAGTAAGCTAATGATTTTGGATAACCCTGGGAAGCCCGTTCAGCTGCAGAATCCTGTTTGCTTAGCCTTCTCCCGCAGGGACTCAGCAGTGGGGCACAGCTGATTTGCTTCTATGCGACCTACAAGCAGTCACGTAGGGTAGGGTCACGGGTAGGGGTGCTGGGGCTGGAGCACATGTTTTGTGTTTGCTGCTGAGGACGGGCTGTGCACACGCTCATGGGTCGCTGAGTGCCACGAGAAGCAGCCGGTGAACAGCAAACCTTCTCTGGGTACAACGAGAGGTCCCTCCAATGGCACTTCTCTGAATGTCAAAGAAAGGGGACCTTGGCCCACAGTATTCAAGACTCTCTGCTCCCCTCTCTTTGGCAAGGTGCAAAGAAATCCTCTTTACATGCTCAATGACTGAAAATAAATCCTATTTTGAGTTTGAGAAGAAGCTGCATGACTAAAATGAGCTGTTCGGTTTCATTCATGTTTGCTGTCTATTAATCTGCTCTCTTCACCCTCAGCAGGGTATGACTCAGACGTTCTCATTGTCTTCCTCCTTAAACTATCTGTGTTTTGACTTTAAATTCTTCTGTCTGACGCAAAGCAGTGCTGAAATCATGACAGTTTGATCCAACAAGCTCCCAGGAGACTCTTGATCTTTACTGACTGGTAGATGTAATGCTCATAACAGCTATGTAAAGCAGATATTGATATTTTTACACCAAATGTTGGTAAGCAGATGTCACAGGCTTGCGAAGATCATTGAAACTCCATGGGAGGAAATATGTGTGTATGTATGAGGGGGAGGCGTGCAGATAAAAATACTCGGTTGGTTATAAGAGAAGATGTGTGTTCCTTAATCTGTTGGTGGTTTGCTATTCTTGTTAATCAAGCTGGAGGCTGCACTCGAGAAGGAATAATAGTGGGTTTCTTTCCCTGTTGATTCGTCTGCTGCTTCTATGTTTTCCTTCCAGCAATGGCTTGTGTTCACCTCTCCCTATGGAGGCAGTTGATGAGCCTAATTTCTCCTTCCTTGCAGGCTCTTTTTGAAGACCTTTGACCAGATCTGGCAGGAAACCAGAATTTCCTTTTGGGCTGTGGGATCCTCTAGATTGCCCAAATGCAGGGGAAGATCCTGCCCCCCGAATAAGATCCTGTTAGAAACAGAGTCATGGGGCTGCGGTGAAGCCCTGAGTCTGTGCCCTGCATGACCAGCCTGGAAAGGGTTTTCAAAGCTGTGTCCTCAGAGCAAGTGTCTTGGCCCAATGCTGCTAGGTGAGCTTGGGTGGGAGCAGGCGGATCCACCAGGTTCAGGTCCTCTCTAGCCCTGGCTCAGCCTTCAGAGGAGCTGCCCCTAGACCCTTGCTGTTTGGATGCTGAAAAACCTCAGTCCCGCCAACTGCCCGACTTTTAGGTGTCTCAGATGGGTAGAGAAGACCCTCCTCTCCCAGCCAGGCACCCACAGGCCCCAAAAGGCTTCACTGAAATGATGACACTCAAAGCTTAATTTGGATGCAATGGTCGTAAGCCCACAGGTCTAAGGCAGCAATCACATCTTCCCTGAGCCTTCTTTTTTCTCTCCATTGTTTTTCTAATGCAAGCAGCATGAAATCATGAACACAGCAATGTTGGATGAAAGTCAGAAAGTCTGTTTTTTTTTTTTTTTTTGTTCCTAGCAAAATCTGTTCTCAAAATGTCCCTGTGGAGCACGTGGTAACCCCTCAAGGAGGTGTGCAGGTCAGGCTGGCTTTGAACCTGCTTCATCTTATTGCAGCAGGGAGTGAGGCCCAGGCATGGGCATGGTCCCAGGCCCTTGCCCCTGTTGGGGTTTGACGTCTACGCTCTTGGAGAATTGTATTTACAGTCCGCAAGGCCCCTCGTTTTCCTTCCTGTGTTGTTTTTTTCCGCTCCTCTTACAATTCTAATAATGAAATTAGAGCTATTTAGCATGTACAAAGTCCAGGGAGGCTGAAAATATTTGCATACAAATATCTTTGATCTACCAAGCATGCAAAATGAGCAGCAAATAACAAGCCTTATGTTGGACCCAAGTGGAGGTCAAGGATTTTAAAATTAAAATCATTTAAAAGAACCTGTATCTATGATGACAGGTGAACTATTTCTGATGAAGGAAAACCTCCCCTTTTCATTTTGTGTACAATAAATGCAGATACCCAAGTCAGATAGGGATTAATTCTAATGTAACAATGGCACTTATTCTGGAAGAAACACCATGTCCATAATGAATTGTAAATTGTTTTTGGTTGCCACTGGAAACAGCCGAAGGGGGGTGAAATGATCAATATTGACACAACCCTGCTTTATTTTTAAGCAATACTGATCTCTTCGTGACACCAATTAGGAGCAGAGAAAGCTAGAGCTGAAGTTAACTTTTTTTTTTTATTCAAACTGCAAGCTATTTCAGCTTCAGAAAACAGAGTCCCGGCAGCAAAAAAAATATACTGTCTCCTGCTGCTTATGTTAATGCTATGGTAATAGCCGTGGTGATGGCAGCTTCACTCTCCATCATGGTCAGAGACGGGTGTCCCCAGAGGGACAGGGATGCTGTGTGGGAGCAGCCACCGTCGCATCACGAAGCTCCCCCCAGCCCACACACACCTTCTTTCTTACATACAGCAAAATAAACTCTCCCCGAAACTTATTCTCAGCTTAACATGCTAGGTTGAGGCTTGATTGGCTTTTAGCTTCTCGTGCTGCACAGCCGTGCCAGGCGGAGCATACACTAGGGCAAATCATTCAAAGGAAACATTGGGTTTGTTACTGTTCTGTTTCCAGTATCATCCAGAGGGTGCAATATGGTCAAAATGTGTTTAAGAATGATTACCAAGAGTCTGTTGTTAAACAAGCGAGCTCAAGCTACGATAATGCAATTACCTAAATTTCAGAGATGTTGTGCTGGCCCTTAGCGTCTTGCTCTCCTATAACATGACGTAGCACTTTTAATGATGGCACAGATCCCTTTTTCTGTTCCATGAATCATTCTGAACAGCAGATAACGCAAGAGAAAAAGAATATGCAGTCATTAAGGGCCTCTCTATGGAAATATGTGGCTAAATTTCTAGTGCAAATCCATGCAATACTTAAGATTTTAATGTGGATTAAGACTGAAGTGTAAGTTGTGGATATCCTCATGAAAATTTGATCCCCTGAAACCAAAATAGCCAAGACAGAAAACTAAGCCAAGTCTGCCTGACTTCCTGTAAATCTCAGGAGAGTGGTTAAGGCACAGAGGAAGGAATCGTGCTCATTTGCCAATTAATGTGTGTCGTCTAAATGCAAGCAGAGACCAGAGACCAGCGATAAATGGAAGAGGTCAGCAGGAAGTTTTGGTGTGAAAGAATTAGCTAGATGGGCATCTGGAAGCAGAGCTGGAAACGTACACAGAGCTGCAAGAAAACTTCCAAAAATCTGACCTGAGCTTTTGAGCCTTTCCTCAAAGCTCTACCTAGGTCTGTAGCTAAATGATTGGGGAGCATTGGAGCCTGCTGCTTGTCTTGAGACACATAGAGTTGAGTGGACAGATCACAGCTACTCGGAGAAGACCAGGGCTGCATTTGGCCCGGCATTGCATAGGATGTAGCTCATCCCTCTCTGGTTTCCATCTTCAAGGATACTAGCCCAGAGTCCATTTCCCTCTCTTCTCCATTATCCCAGGAAAAAAATAGGGATTGTATCTGACTGCATCCTGAAAAGCAATATTGATGAAGGGTTTCTGTGTAGACAGAAACTGGTTCAGTTTTTACAGGTAGCTTTGCGTAACTGAAATGGAGGCCTTCCAGATGGTGTCTCATCTACGACGAATGCAGCAAAGGTAGTTCCTTCTCTCTGTGTTCGCAGCTGTAATTATTCCTACCTTGCTGTTCTTATGACAATTTAATTTTGTAACATTTATTGGTTTGGAAGGTTCATTCATCCTAGGTTTTTGCATTTTGTGCTGTAAAAGGTCAAAATTGTCAGGAAAGATTTATGTAGGGGGAAAAGGAGCCCATTATTTAAAAGCCAGCGTAACCCTTCTGGAATAGAAAGGAAGCTGAAGGAATGAGCAGAAAGCGAGCCCCGCAGCTGCAGCAATGTGCTAGGTTTCATGCTCTCTGGTTTTCGGCAAGGTGATATTTACTGTCCCCCATGATCTGTGTGGGCGGGCGCTGGCCTTTTCCTCTCCAAGCGCTGAGGATGAGGTTGCGAGTGCGAAGGCCGCCCTGTTCCGTGGTGCAGGGCTGGTGCCTCTGCTTGCCCTGCTCTGCAGCCCAGCCATGGCCCAGAGCAGGCAGCACTGCCCTTGGTGCAGAGCAGTCGGGGCCAGGTGAGGAGGAGCTGCTGGAAAAGCCAGAGCTGGGCTGTGTTTTGTGCTTCAAAAAACATGGGCTCCAATGCAGTTGTTGGGAGGCCTGTGCCTAAGAAGCGTGTGCACCGTTACGGCTTAGTGAGCAGCCTGCCCGCCCTGCATGACTGCTTCTCCTCCCTATATAATGCACACACACACACACACGTGTGCATACGCACCTGTGTGCATGCATACGTGTGCATTTACACCCCTGCACGCGTGAATGTGTGCACGTGCACACGCACCCATGTGCACAGGCTCCTTCTGCCCCAGGAGCGACTTTGCTGCAGCCAGGGCGGTTGTTCCAGGCCACCTCACCCAGACCCCCGCCAGGAGCGCCCCACAGAGCTGGGTTCATGGTTTGCTTGTTCCCCCACCCGAAGGGACCATCCGGCCTTTCCAGGGTCCGTGGGAGCCCTTTCCGCCTCCCTCTCTTATTTGATATTGACCTCCCGCTGCGTGCGTGTGTATATGTGTGTGTATCTAAATATATATATATATATATATATATATCCGCACATGTGCGCGCGCGGCGGGGCGGGCGGCGGGCGGGCCGCGCGGCTGACGTCGGCGGCGAGGGCGGTATAAGCGGGCGCTGTCCGGGTGCTGAACGGCGGCGGCGGCGGCGCGCGCAGGTAGGGGCTGCG